AATAATAATAATAATAATAATAATAAATTATTTTTATATTATTACTGTATTTATTATAGTAGTCCGGCCATAAAAGCCTTCAACAATAATATAATAAATATAATAATATAATATTATAATATAATAAAATAATATTATATATTGTATTATAATATGATATTATATTAATAATATATTATAATACTGTAAGAAATATAATAATATAATAAATACAGTAATAATAACAATAATAATTACATATATATATATACTATACACTACTATAATAAATACAGTAATAATAATATATTATTATTATCTTATTATTATTACTGTATTTATTATAGTAGTCCAACCATGAAAGCCTTCAACTATAATATAATAAATATAATAATATAATATAATAATATTTTATAGCAATTTTATATATTATATTAATAATATAATAATATTATAATATATTATAATACTGCAATATAATATTATAATTAATATAATAATATAATACATACAGTAATAAATAATAATAATAATAATTATTATTATTATATTACTGTATTTATTATAGTAGTCCGGCCATGAAAGCCTTCAACAATAATATAATAAATATAATATTATAATATAATAAAAATATAATATTATATATTATAGTATTATATTATATTAATAATATAATATAATAATATATTATAATATTGTAATATTATAATTAGAAGGGAGCAGGGTCCACCTGACTCCATATCCCAGAACTGAAAAGGGGCACCCAAAGGCCATCCAACCCAACCCAAACCCCATTCTGCCGGGCAGAAAGACTCCAAAGGCTGCAAAATGGGTTCGGAGTAGTTTCTGCTGCATCAACACAATCAGGAAAAGGTCAATTTATGCAGGAGAAGCTCTAATTATGAATCCAGGATTCCTGGGCTTTGTTTACCTTACTCTCAAGTAAACAACAACAACAACAACAAGAACAAATCTTGATTGAAATGTACAAAACCAGAAAAATAGAAAAAATCCAGACATTTATTATTTTGTTGACATCCCGAAAATGCAAACAGTAAAAAGAAAATCCTTGAATGATTTCAGTGATCTGTCGAATAAATAGAACGACGTTGGCTACAGATATAAAACGACAAAAGTTTGGGGGTAAAAGGGGCCATACATTTCCCTTCATATATCCTTCCTTCCTTCCTTCCTTCCTTCCTTCCTTCCTTCCTTCTTTCTCCTTCCTTCCTTCCTTCCTTCCTTCCTTCCTTCCTTCCTTCCTTCCTTCCTTCTTCCTTCCCTCTTTCTTTCCCCTTCCTTCCTTCCTTCCTTCCTTCCTTCCTTCCTTCCTTCCTTCCTTCCTTCCTTCCTTCCTTCCTTCCCTCTTTCTTTCTTTTTCTCCCTCCTTCCCCTCTTTCTTTCTCTTCCTTCCTTCCTTCCTTCCTCCTTCCTTCCTTTCTTCCTTCCTTCCTTCCTTCCTTCCTTCCTTCCTCCCTCCCTCCCTTCCCTCCCTTCCTTCCTCTTTCTTTCCTTCCTTCCTTCCTTCTCCCTTTCTTTCTCCTTCTTCCTTCTTTCCCTCTTCTTTCTCCTTCCTTCTTTCCTTCCTTCCCCTCTTTCTTTCTCCTTCCTTCCTTTTCCTCCTTCCTTCCTTCCTTCCTTCCTTCCTTCGCTCTCATTCCCTCTTTCTTTCCCCTTCCTTCCTTCCTTCCTTCCTTCCTTCCTTCCTTCCTTCCTTCCTTCCTTCCTTCCTTCTTCCTTCCTTCCTTCCTTCCTTCTTTCTTTCTCTCCTTACCTCCTCTCTTAATCTTTCCTTCCTTCCTTCCTTCCTTCCTTCCTTCCTTCCTTTCTTCCTTCCTTCCTTCCTTCCTTCCTTCCTTCCCCTCCTCCCTTCTTCCTCCTCCCTTCCTTCCTTCCTTCCTTCCTTCCTTCCCCTCTTCTTCTCCTTCCTTCCTTCCTTCTCTCTTTCCTCCCTCCCTCCCATCCTTCTCTTCCTCCCTTCTTTCCCTCTTTCTCCTTCCTTCCTTCCTTCCTTCCTTCCTTCCTTCCTTCCTTCCTTCCTTCCTTCCTTCCTTCCTTCCTTCCTTCCTTCCCCTCTTTCTTTTTCCTTCCTTCCTTCCTTCCTTCCTTCCTTCCTTCCTTCCTTCCTTCCTTCCTTCCTTCCCCTCTTTCTTTCTCCTTCCTTCCTTCTCCACTTTCTTCCTCCTTCCTTCCTTTCCTTCCTTCTTTCTCCTTCCTTTCCTTCCTTCCTTCCTTCCTTCTTCCTTTCCTTCCTTCCTTCCTTCCTTCCTTCCTTCCCCTCTTTCTTTTTTCCTTCCTTCTTTCCTCCTTCCTTTCCTGCCTTTCCCCTCTTTTCCTTGTTTTTCTTCTCTCCCCCTTGCCTTCCTTTTCTCAATCCATTCTTCCCTCTTTTTATTTCTTCTTTTCTTTCTTCCCTCCTTCTACCTTTTCCTTCTTCCTTCCTTCCTTCCTTCCTTCCTTCCTTCCTTCCTTCCTTCCTTCCTTCCTTCCTTCCTTCCTTCCTTCTCAGACTCTTCTCTTTCAATGGCCACTTATTTGTGTTGAGTTGTGTTGTGCGTTCAAGTCTTCCTTCCCTCCTGCCATTGGCAAGCAGGTCTTTCTCGGGAGGGGGGTCTTTGGACATGGATATCGGGGTCCTTGTGGGAGAATCACACAAACGGGGAGCACAGAACGATGGGGGGAAATTGGGGAAGGGTCTCCTCCGTGTTTCGCATCAGGGGCATTTCCGCTCCACGCACTGTTTGCCCCCTTCTTCATACTCCTGCTTGGAAATCCACATCTGCTGGAAGGTGCCCTAGACGAGAGGTGGGAAGAGAGAGGTCATCATCCCCTAAAACCAAGGATTGTGTCCGCATTGCACCCTTATACCACTTATAGAACAAGCCAGGGCAAACTTGGGCCCTCCAGGTGTTTTGGACTTCAACTCCCACAATTCCTAACAGCCGATAGGCTGTTAGGAATTGTGGGAGTTGAAGTCCAAAACACCTGGAGGGCAGAAGTTTGCCCAGGCTAGAGCTATGGGATCATGGAAGGGACCTTCAAGGGTCATCTAGACCAACCTACCAATGTGCAGGAAACCATAGCCAGATCATCCCTGAGAGGGAGGCCACCTAACATCTTCTGAACTTCCACTCCTAGTGGGAGTTTGCTCAAGAGATGTGTGGACCAATCATGGAATTGATAGGGATCTCCAAGGGCCATCTAGACTGACCCACTGCTGTGCAGGAGTCCAGACCTAAACCATCCCTGAGATGGAAGCCACCTTACATCTTCTGAACTTCCACTCCTAGTGGCACTTTGTTCAAGAGATGTGTGGGCCAATCATGGAACAGGGATCTCCAAGGTTCATCTCGACTGACCCACCACTGTTCAGGAGTCCATGCCTCAACCATCTCTAAGACGGAGACCACCTAACATCTTCTGAACTTCCACCCCTAGTGAGACATTGCTCAAGATATGTGTGTGTCAATCATGGAACTGATAGGGACCTCCAAGAGTCATTAAACTGACCCACAACTGTGCAGGAAACTATAGTTAAACCATTCCTGAGAGGGAGGCCACCTTACATCTTCTGAACTTCCACTCCTAGTGGGACTTTCCTCAAGAGTTGTGTGGGCCAATCATGGTACTGATAGGGACCCCAAGGGTCATCTAGACTGACCCACCGATGTTCAGGAAACCATAGCTGAACCATCCCCGAGAAGGAGGCCACCTAACGTCTTCTGAACTTCCACCTCTAGTGGCACTTTGCTCAAGAGATGTGTGGGCCAAGCTTGGAACTGAAAGGGACCTCCAAGGGTCATCTAGACCGACCCACCGATGTCAGGAGTCCATAGCCAAACCATCTCTGAGAGGGAGGCCACCTAACATCTTCTGAACTTCCACTCCTCGTGGCACTTTGCTCAAGAAGTGTGTGTGTCAATCATGGAACTGATAGGGACCTCCAAGGGTCCTCTAGATTGACCTGCTGCTGTGCAGGAAACCAGAGCTAAACCATCCCTGAAAGGGATATACTGGCTGGGGGATTCTGGAAGCTGCTGTTTCCCAAAAAAGGCATCTGAGCTTCCAAGATCAGACTGGATCTGTTAGGAATGGGCCTTTCAACAATTAACATGGAATGAAACTGATGTAAGTGTGCAATGCAGACACCCACCCCTCTTGCTGGGTTTGTGCCCAGATTTCAGCCCTCCTTCCACCCCCTTTCCCGACTCACCAGCGAAGCCAAGATGGAGCCCCCGATCCAGGGGCTGAACCTCCGCTCCATGGTGCTGTTGCTGGCAATGAGCTTCAGGCGCATGCTCTGCGGGGACAACAAAAGAGCAAGTGAAGAGTTCAGCCTTGGCTAATCCCAATGAACAATACACCATGATAACAATGCATCGTGTGCCTTTCAGACTCATGGAAAGCTGGACCTGCTATCCACTTTTTCTGGGGCTGAGAGAGCGCGCCTGCCTGGTTTCCTGTGGCAGGGAGTTCCCCAGACTCCTGATCTACAGGCATGGCTGTAGGATAACAAGTGGATTTGTCTTCGCCCGGACAGGCCGCCATTGGAATATGTGGCCCTTCAAACACCAAATTGTTAAAGTGGGGTCAAACTGCATCCGTTCAGCACTGTAGATGTCAACATGCGCTCATTCATGTGCTTTCACTCACTCACCGGAGGGGTCTTCTGGGAAAGCTCCCGGTTCAGCCGGTCTGTGAAGCCTTGGAGGAGAGTGTTTCCTCCGGTGACGATGACGCTGCCATAAAGACCCTGCAGATGATATTTATTATTATTATTATTATTATTATTATTATTATTATTATTATTATTATGCTGGTACGGCTGTACCAGGAGCTCCAACTTCTTTTCCTTCTTATTGAGTGTTTGCATGTATTCCAAAGTTCCATGCATTTTGCAATAAGGTGGCTTCCCTTGGTTTGCAATCATAGGGCCAATGACCCATCAATGATCGTTATGTTCTTTAGTTTTGCCCCTTTTCTGGGTTAAGGAGGGAAAAGGGGGACCTCTAGTTCAGTTCACACAGAGAAGCCTTTCGTACAGGACGTGAATCAGTTCCACCTGTAGAAAGCTTTGTCTTTTAGAGCTTTGCTGGGGGGATCCAGCCCGACAGCATAGCCTTTGTTGGGGAATTGAGTTCCACAACTCTACAGCCAGCCTTCGCTGGGAATTGAAAGCCTTCTTTCCTCTTGGAAATGTACCAAAGACTTTGCTTGGTAAGGTCTACTGGGGTCACCCATAACACAGATTGGAACCGGGAGTAGGGCCTGTCAGATGAAAGCATTCCTGACAGATGGCCATCCAGCTTCTGATGACCCGGGGAGGGGGGGTCAATGTGGCCCTTGACCTTTGCACCCTCAGAATTATAGATTAATAGATGTGGGAGGTACCCCAAAGGCCATCTAGTCTGACCCCTTTCTTGCCAGGCACGATGACACTATGAAAGCATTCCTGACAGATGGCCATCCAGCTTCTGATGTCCACTTGGGGGGGTCAATGTGGCCCTTGACCTTTGCATCCTTAGAATTATAGATCGAGATGTGGGAGGTACCCCAAAGGCCATCTAGTCTGACCTTTTTCTTGCCAGGCAGGATGACACTATGAAAGCATTCCTGACAGATGGCCATCCAGCTTCTGATGGCCACCCGGGGGGGGGGGTCAATGTGGCAATTGACCTTTGCCCAGGAAGGAGGACACTATGAAATCAGTCCTGACAGATGGCCATCCAAAGGGGGTCAATGTGGGCCTTGAACTTTGCCCTTCTTAAGAGTCGTGTGGACTCACTGGGCGGATATCGATGTCGCACATCCCGATGCTCGTTGTGACCACGTGGCCGACCCCCAGCATGGTGTTCCCAGACAGGCCCTAGAGAGAGAGAGATTGAGAGAGAGAGAGAGAAAGAAAGAAAGAAAGAAAGAAAGAAAGCATTAGTTTTGCAGTCATTGCAACGCCATCCACCTTAACATACAATCCTAGAGTTGGAAGGGACCTCCAAAGGCCATCCAGTCCAACCCCGTTCTGCCATCATGCAGGAAAAGCACAATCCAAGCACCCTCAACAAATGGCCATCCAGTTCCAAAACATCCAAGGAAGAAGTTTCCACCGGACTCTGATGCAGAGAGTTCCTCTGCTGAACAGCTCTCACCTTGACATTGGAAGGGTCAAACAGCCCTTCGGGGATGCGGAGCCGCTCCGCCCCATAGTCCGTGTTGTAGCCGTTGGGCATCTCATAGTGGACGGTGGGCATCTGAGCGGCCACCCTGCGCCGGACAAAGAGAGAGTGGACGGAGACGCCAGTGGGCTTTGCTTTAGAACAGGCATGGGCAAACTTTGGTCCTCTAGATGCTTTGGACTCCAACTCCCACCATTCCTAACAGCCTCAGGCCCCTTCCTTTTCCCCCTCAGCCGCTTAAGCGGCTGAGGGGAAAAGGAAAGGGCCTGAGGCTGTTAGGAATGGTGGGAGTTGGAGTCCAAAGCATCTGGAGGGCCTAAGTGTAATGCAACCCCCTCCCCCAACTAAAATGACCCCCAACCCGGACTGTCCGGACTCACTGTTCATCATAAGGAGAGTCGGACACTTGCAACACTGAGGCTTGGAAGTCCTGGATGACCTCCTGCAACGGAAAGAGAAACACGGGGTGCAAATATAGGGTTTGTGTGCATCAGTGGTACCTGTTTCCTAGAGAAGTCCCCCCATCAACCCAATGTAAACAACCCAATTTTGGACAAGACGTTGCTTCTCACGTTGCAGGTGTAGTTGTGCCAGGACTTGGTGACGGGGGGCAGCTTCTCCTTCTTCTTCCAGTTTGGGGGGGCTCCTTCCCGGACAGGTTCCTAAGGGAGGGGGGTGAGGGAAGGGGAGTAGAGGGAGGGAATCAAAAGAGGGGAGAACTGGGGGGATGGGGACAAGGGCAACAACCCCCTTTATTTCCCCCTGCACCCAGAGGCTGCCCTAGGTAATTTTCAGCGGTAAGCAAACAGTATTTTGGCCCCCCCCCCAACCAATCATTGATATATATTTTCTGTTTCGTGGGAGTTCTGTGTGCCATATTTGGTTCAATTCCATCATTGGTGGAGTTCAGAATGCTCTTTGATTGTAGGTGAACTATACATCCCAGTAACTACACTTGCCTTGCTCCCTTGCCTGGCCCGCTTTGGGTCCGGAGGCGTGCCTGAAGACCCCGGCGTGTGCACCAAAAGTCACCTCTTCTCCTGACTTTCTCCTCAGCCATTGGGACCAAGAGAGAGAGAGAGAGAGAGAGAGAGGTGGAGATGCCCACCTTTCCTGAAGGTAGGCGCAAAAACAAAGGAGGGAGCGGAGGTGGGAGATACCTCGGGGCTCTCTCTCTCTCTCTCTCTCTCTTGGTCCCAATGGCTGAAGAGAAAGTCAGGAGAAGAGGTGACTTTTGGTGCGCACGCTGGGGTCTTCAGATATGCCTCCGGACCCGAAGCGGGCCAAGCGCGGCAGCTCCACCCCTTGGCCCACCCGCGGATTGGGGAGAGGAGGAGGCAGGTGGAGCACCGGGGGATCGGGAAAGGGAGCCGGTCAGGGGAAGGGGTCGAACACGGAGAACGATTGAGCGCGGCTCTGCTCGCGCACCCGGTGGCCGGGTGGAGCAGGAACGAGAGGGGCTAGGTGAGGCTCAAGGGCCTGGCCCCTTTGGGAAGAGGATCGGCCGGCAGCAAGGCAAGAAAGCCGAGGCTCCCCCCGGACTGCTAGGGCTGTTGTGAGCTGAGGGGACGCTCCTCAAGTGGCGGTCGAGGGGCATTTACAGAGGCGCCTCTGCGCCCCTGGCAAAAAAAGTGTTCTGCGACTGCTTACTTCGCGTAATGGACGAGCCGCCCCTGCCTGCACCCCAACTCTATCCCACACTCCACTTTTCCTCCGGTTGGCATTTTGAAATAATCGCATCTCATTGTCCTTCATGCCGTTGGAACTCCCTGCCACTTTGGGACAAAGAGGTGGGAGTTTCTTTGTGCTCCAAGTCTAAATTTGTCTACAAAACCCTGTTTCCCTGAAAATAAGGCATCCCCTGAAAATAAGACCTAGTAGAGGTTTTGCTGAATGGCAAATATAAGTCCTTCCCTGAAAATAAGACCTAGCAAAGATTTTGTTTGGGGGCATGCTCCCCCTGGTGGCCGGAAGCTGCAATACTGTCCCTGCTGTGCAAGTGGTCCAGGAACTAGGTTCTTGTGGGTTTTTTCGGGCTATATGGCCATGTTCTAGAGGCATTTTCTCCTGACGTTTTGCCTGCATCTATGGCAAGCATCCTCAGAGGTAGTGAGGTCTGTTGGAATTAGGAAAATGGGTTTATATATCTGTGGAATGACTGGGGTGGGGCAAAGAGCTCTTCTCTGCTGGAGCTAGGTGTGAATGTTTCAACTGACCACCTTCATTAGCATTTGAAGGCCTGGCTGAGCCTGGGGGATCTTTTGTTGAGAGGTGTTAAGATGTGCCTGGTTGTTTCCTCTCTGCTGTTTTGCTGTTGTAATTTTAGAGTTTTTTAATACTGGTAGCCAGATTTTGTTCATTTTCATGGTCTCCTCCTTTCTGTTGAAATTGTCCACATGCTTCTTGTGGATTTCAATGACTTCTCTGTGTAGCCTGACATGGTGGTTCTTCTAATGCTTCTTCTAATGCTAATGAAGGTGGTCAGTTGAAACATTCACACCTAGCTCCAGCAGAGAAGCCCACCCCAGTCATTCCACAGATATATAAACCCAATTTCCTAATTCCAACAGACCTCACTACCTCTGAGGATGCTTGCCATAGATGCAGGCGAAACGTCAGGAGAAAATGCCTCTAGAACATGGCCATATAGCCCGGAAAAACCCACAATAACAGCTATTATTATTATTATTATTATTATTATTATTATTATTATTATCTTTATTTGTACTCCGCTAGCATCTCCCGAAGGACTCGATGCAGCTTACAAAGGCCAAGGCCTCAAAACACAACATAACAACACACAACCTAAAGCAAATTCAAAACAGTTAAAGCAATATTAAACAACAAGCAATAAACAATACACCAAGACACAATGAAACTGGGCCGGGCCAGAGTAATGGGTACAGATAAAAAGTGCTGATATGACAGATGATATGTAGGATTATAGGGTAAGTGCACACTAGAAGGGTTTGGTGGGCATTGACCTTGAGTTTGGGAGTTGTAGTTCACCTACATCCAGAGAGCAGTGTAGACTCAAACAATGATGGATCTGGACCAAACTCTACACGAATACTCAATATGCCCAAATGTGAACACTGGTGGAGTTTGGGGAAAATAGAGCTTGACATTTGGGAGTTGTAGTTGCTGGGATTTATAGTTCACCTACAATCAAAGAGCAATCTGAACCCCACGAACGATAGAATTGGGCCAAACTTCCCACACAGAACCCCCATGACCAACAGAAAATTTTCTGGTGGTCTTTGCTGACCCCTCTGACACCCCCTCACGACCCCTCCAGGGGTCCCAACACCCAGATTGAGAAACACTGACCTAGCGCATCTTTGAGAGCAAAAATTAATATTTATTTATTACTAGCCGTCCCCTGCCACGCGTTGCTGTGACCCAGTCTGTGTATATGGGTTTGTGTGTGTATATATTTGTGTATATGTGTATATGTGTGTGTTTGTGTATATATATGTAGTTTTGTGCATGCTATTTTTTTTGCTTTTAAAGTCTCTTCCGCTGTGTTTTCCAGTATTTTTAGTGACTAGCTGTCCCCTGCCACACGTTGCTGTGGCCCAGTCTGTGTATATGTTTTTTTGTGTTTGTATATATGTGTATATGTGTGTGTATATATTTGTGTATATGTGTATATATGGGTGTTTGTGTGTGTGGGTGTGTATACACACACACACACACACAAATATATATATATATATATATATATATATATATATATATATGTATGTATATATGTGTGTGTGTGTGTGGAGTTCAAAATGTTCTTTGATTGTCAGTTAACTATAAATCCCAGCAACTACAACTCCCAAATTTTTAAAAAATAAATTATTATTATTATTATTATTACTTAGGGCTAATTTATTTTTCTTATTATTATTATTAAATTATTATTATTGAGTGGCCAGAAAAAAACATCAACATATCTTTCCAAGGAGAATCCATGAAAGAAAGGGATTGCTCCCAAAGACATCCAAAACAGACAGAAATGTAATATATATCCCAAAAATGTGGTGAATGAGGGAATGAGGAGGAGGCAATACCACCTTGGCAGCGATCATGTAAGGCGGGACGATCTCGATGTTCATCTCTTGGAAGAGTTCGCGGCATTGCATGGAGATGAAGTCTCCGGCCAGAGGGGATTTCACGATGCCTGGAAGGAAAGAAAGAAAGAAAGAAATGGTTGGACTGGATGACCTTTGGGGGCCCCTTCTATGATTATATGGAGAGCATCTCATTTCAAAGGCTGGAGGTCAAATATATGTGGTGGTAGAACATTTGAATCCAGAACACTTCCTTTGCTATGGGAAAACTGTACCAATTCCTTGCATGAAGGAAAGGGTTGGACTAGATGACCTCTGGGGGGTCCCTTCTAAGCATCGGATTCCATGCAGAGGTCTAACACAGGCATGGAGAAGGAAAGAGGCATCCAATGGAGGGACTTCTCATTTCAGAGGCAGGGGGTCAAGTGGACTGATTCACTGCATGAAGAAAGGGTTGGACTAGATGACCTTTGGGGTCCCCTTCTTAGCATATGAGTCTATGCAGAGGTCTAGCACAAGGGTCAAGTGGACTGATTCCCTGCATGAAGAAAGGGGATGGACTAGATGACCTTTAGGGGCCCCTTCTTAGCATATGAGTCTATGCAGAGGTCTAGCACAAGGGTCAAGTGGACTGATTCACTGCATGAAGAAAGGGGGTGGACTAGATGACCTTTAGGGGCCCCTTCTTAGCATATGAGTCTATGCAGAGGTCTAGCACAGGGGTCAAGTGGACTGATTCACTGCATGAAGAACGGGGGTGGACTAGATGACCTTCAGGGGCCCCTTCTTAGCATATGAGTCTATGCAGAGGTCTAGCACAAGGGTCAAGTGGACTGATTCACTGCATGAAGAAAGGTGGTGGACTAGATGACCTTTAGGGGCCCCTTCTTAGCATATGAGTCTATGCAGAGGTCTAGCACAGGGGTCAAGTGGACTGATTCACTGCATGAAGAAAGGTGGACTAGATGACCTTTAGGGGCCCCTTCTTAGCATATGAGTCTATGCAGAGGTCTAGCACAGGGGTCAAGTGGACTGATTCACTGCATGAAAAAAGGGGGTGGACTAGATGACCTTCAGGGGCCCCTTCTTAGCATATGAGTCTATGCAGAGGTCTAGCACAAGGGTCAAGTGGACTGATTCACTGCATGAAGAAAGGTGGTGGACTAGATGACCTTTAGGGGCCCCTTCTTAGCATATGAGTCTATGCAGAGGTCTAGCACAGGGGTCAAGTGGACTGATTCACTGCATGAAGAAAGGGTGGACTAGATGACCTTTAGGGGCCCCTTCTTAGCATATGAGTCTATGCAGAGGTCTAGCACAGGGGTCAAGTGGACTGATTCACTGCATGAAGAAAAGGGGTGGACTACATGACCTTTAGGGGACCCTTCTTAGCATATGAGTCTATGCAGAGGTCTAGCACGGGGCATCCAGTGGAGGGACATCTTATTTCAAAGGCTGGGGGTCAACTGGACTGATTAACTACATGAAGAAAGGGTTTGACTAGATGACCTTTGGGGGTCCCTTCTTAGCATATGAGTCCATGCCGAGGTCTAGCACAGCGCATGGAAAGGGGAAGGGGCATCCAGTGGAGGGGCTTCTCATTTCAAAGGCTAGGGGGTTAAATGCAGCTATGTCCAGAGGACTCGGCTGTCCATGCAGCTCTCCCCACTCAGCCCCAGACCCATCATCCTTAGAACTCCCGCCCCCCAAACTTTGTAGTATGGGAGCCCACCTTGCTGGAGGATGTAGCCGTCGTGGACGGGGATGGCGGTGGTGTGGGTGGCCCCGCTGTCCAAGACCAGGCCGGTGCTGCGCCCGTTAGCAAAGCTAGGACCCCAAAGTCAAGGCTTGTTCAAGAGTAGGGGCTGTTGGGGGTCTGGGGGAATTGGAGTGGGGGGTCTCTCCTGACCCAACCAAACTAAGCCTTGCTTAGTAACAGTTTCTCCCTTTTTGAGAGAAGGAATATAATAATAATAATAATAATAATAATAATAATAATAATAATAATAATAATAATAGAGAAACAACTGGAAAAGCTGACATGATGTGAGGATTTAAAGACCCAAGCCAATCAAGGGGGTCCCAGTGGTGACTGGAACACTGGGCATAGTGCCTAAAGACCTATCTTTCTTTCGTTCATTCGTTCGTTCGTTCATTCTTTCTTTCTTTCTTCTTTCTTTCTTCTCCTTCTCCTTCCTACCTTCTTTCCTTTCTTCTTTTTTTCTTTCTTCCTTTTCTTTTCCTTCCTTCCTTCTCCTTCTCCTTTTTCCTTCCTTCCTTCCTTCCTTCCTCCTTCCTTCCTCCTTTCTTTCTCCTTCCTTCCCTTTCTTTCTCCTTTTTTTTCCTTTCCTTCTTTTCTATCCTTAGTAAGGCAAATGACTTTCTCGATCCACAGGCTCCTTTCCCCTTCCTCTTCCTTCTTCTTCCCTTCTTTCTTTCTCCTTCCCTTCCCTTCCCTCCTTCCTTCCTTCCTTCCTTCCTTCCTTCCTTCCTCCTTCCTTCCTTCTCTCTTCTTCCTTCCTTCCTTCTTTCCTTCCCTCTTTCTTTCCTCTCCTTCCTTCCTTCCTTCCTTCCTTCTTTCCTTCCTTCCTTCCTTCTTTCTTTCTTCCTCTCCTTCCTTCCTCTCTTCCTTTCTCCTTCCTCCTTCCTTCCTTCCTTCCTCCTCCTCCTTCTTCCCCTCTTCTTTCTCCTCCTTCCTTCCCTCTTTCTTTCTCCTTCCTTCCTTTCCTCCTTCCTCCCTTCTTTCCTTCCTTCCTTTCCCTTCCTTCCCTCCTTCCTTCTTTCTTCCTTCCTTCCTTCCTTCCTTCCTTCCTTCCTCCTTCCTTCCTTCCTTCCTTCCTTCCTTCCTTCCTTCCTTCCCTTTTCACTTTTTTTATTTCCTTCTCTCCTTCCTTGCTTTCCTTCCTTCCTTCCTTCCTTCCTTCCTTCCTTCCTTCCTTCCTTCCTTCCTTCTTTCCTTCCTTCCTTCCTTCCTTCCTTCCTTCCCCTCTTCTTTCTCCTCCTTCTTCCTTCCTTCTTCTTTCTCCTTCCTTCCTTCCTTCCTTCCTTCTTTCCTCCCTTCTTTCCTTCTTTCCTTCCTTCCTTCCCTTCTTTCCTTCCTTCCTTCCTTCCTTCCTTCCTTCCTTCCTTCCTTCCTTCCTTCCTTCTTTCTTTCTCCTTCCCTTCCCTCCTTCCTTCCTCTCTTTCTTTCTCCTTCCTTTCTTCCTTCCTTCCTTCCTTCCTCCCTCCCTCCCTCCCTCCCTCCCTCCCTCCCTCCTTTCTCCTCTTCTCTTCCTCCTCTTCCTTCCCCTTCTTCCTTCTTTCCTTCTTTCCTTCCTTCTTTACTTCCTTCTTTCCTTCCTTCCTTCCTTCCTTCCTTCCTTCCTTCCTTCCTTCCTTCCTTCCTTCCTTCCTTCCCCTCTTTCTTTTTTCCTCCTTCCTTCCTCTGAAGGAGATGAATGGGAAAACAAACATTTGTTTTTCTATGTTGTCGAAGACTTTAATGGCTGGAATCACTGGGTTGCTGTAAGTTTTTTGGGCTGTATAGCCATGTTCCAGAAGCATTCTGTCCTGACATTTCACCTGCATCTATGGAAGGCATTTTCAGAGGTTGTGAGGTGAAACATCAGGAGAAAATGCTTCTGGAGCTTGGCCAGAGAGCACAAACAACTTACAGCAACCCATTTGTTTTTCTTTCCACTGGAACCTCCTGCCACTGGAGAAGAAGAAGAAGATAAATCTCCCTTTTGTGGTGCCAGGAGAAAAAGCAAGGCTCCAGTGTCCTTTCTATTTGCAAACGAAGGAATGCTTGACATATGACCGGTGGCTTATTCCTTTTCTCTGCACAGAAGGATACGCCGTCAGCACCGCGGTCTTGCAGAGGAAGAAGGCCGGGATGCCGTAATGCTCAAACATCAGCTCCGTCAGCTTCTCCCGCTTGGCCCTCGTGTTCCACTGAAAGAGAGGAAACGTTGTTCAGGAACACAGAGGAAGGTCAGCACGGCCAGCTGCCTGGCATTCAAGACCTTCTGGACAGTTAAGAATGCACTTAAAACTCATATTCCAAAGGACGACAACAATAACGGCAATTGCAAGAATACAGATTCACAACATTGGAAGAGACATTGGCCATTCGGTTCTGAGGAGGATGACAATGATGACGAAAAGAATAACAATAACAATGATGGAATCGACGCCATAAGGCTGGGTACCTACCGGAGCTTCAGACATGAGCACCGGGTGCAAGTTGGGCTCCGACTTGATGTGCTTGTTGTAGGTGTGGTCCAGGATGGCCTGGAAGCAGCCCCAGTCCTCAACTGGAAGGAAGGAAGGAAGGAAGGAAGGAAGGAAGGAAGGAAGGAAGGAAGGAAAAGAAAGGAAGGGAGGAGGGAGAAGAAAGGAGGAAAGAAGAAGGAAGGAAGAGAAGAAAGAAAGAAAGAAAAGAAAGAGAAGAAAGAGAAAAGAAGAAGGAGGAGGAAGAGGAAAGAAGGAGGAGAAGGAAGGAAGGAAGGAAGGAAGGAAGGAAGGAAGGAAGGAAGGAGAAGAAAGGAAAGGAAGGAGGAGGAGAAGAAAAGGAAGGAAGAAAAGAAAGGAAGGAAGGAAGGAGAAAAAAGAAAAGAAAGAAAGAAAGAAAGAAAGAAAGAAAGAAAGGAGGAAAGGAGGAAAGAAAGAAAGAAAGAAAGAAAGAAAGAAAGAAAGAAAGAAAGAAGGAATGAAGGGAAGGAAGGAAGGAGGAAAGAAAGAAAGAAAGGAAGAAAGACAGAAAAAAGAAAGAAAGGAGGAAAGAAGGGAAGGAAGGAAGGAGGAAAGAAAGAAAGAAAGAAGGAAGAAGGAAAGGAAGGAAAGGAAGGAAGGAAGGAGGAAAGAAAGAAGGAAGGAAGGAAGGAAAAAGAGGAAGGAAGGAGAAAGAAGAAAGGAAGGAAGGGAGGAAGGAAGGAAGAGAAAGAGGGAAAGGTCAACAAGAAAGCATTGGATGGTGGCATTGGATGGAATCATGCACCCCTAACATCACATGAAGACCATTTATCCTTTTGAATACAAAAATATAGTGTGTGTTTGTCTCTCTTTCTCTCTGTGTATATATATATATATAGATATACATATACACACACACAGAGGATTCTCATTTCTAGAATGGAAAGGATCCCTGTATTAGACTAATCTAACGCGCATCCTAATTATGGCAAGGCAATTTGACCCAAAAAGGTGAGCTAGGTTGCCTAAGTTGTACAACAGCGCCATCCCATGACTGTGAAAGAAATTGCCACACAATGCATTTCAAGGCTTGCAAAAGACATAACATTCACTCCAATGCAGGCCTGGGCCAACTTTGGCCCTCCCTCCAGGTGTTTTGGACTTCAACTCCCACAATTCCTAACAGCCGGTAGGCTGTTAGGAATTGTGGGAGTTGTGAAGTCCAAAACACCTGGAGGGAGGGCCAAAGTTGGCCCAGGCCAGAATTAATTCCAATGCAGAGACCCAAAGCCTTTCTCCCCCCGTAAAGGCTCCGTACTCATCCCGTTCTTGAGCGGTGAGATGACCTCTGTGTTTTCCCGCGGGACGTGCAAAGAGTTGGTGTCGATGTAGTAGACCTTCCCGGCCTTGTTCTCCTTGTCCCCTTCCAGCTCCATGGCCGACTCGTCGTGGGAAAGCAGGCCCACGGTGGTGGGGAAGTCCGCCTGAAAGAGACCATAAAGCAGGTATGGGCCAACTTGGGCCTTCCAGGTATTTTGGACTCCAACTCCCACATTTCCTAACAGTTGGTAGGCAGTTAGGAATAGTGGGAGTTGAAGTCCAAGACACACAGTCAGAAATACCTATCTATCTATCTATTGATGGACACCTGGGCACCTACCTTGGGGCAGTCTTCTCCCGCATAGCCCGCCCGGATGGAGAAGGAGCCGATGTCGAAAACGAGGGCGCCGACTTCATCTGAGGAGGAAGCCAGAGACATTTCCAAAATTGCAATTTCAGGAGGGAGAGCTAATGCTAAAAGCTTGATGGCCATCTGTCAGAAAGGCTTCGATTGTGTCTTCCTGACCGGTAGAAAGGGGCTGGACTGAGTTGTCCTTGGGGTCTCCTCCAACTCTAGGATTCTCTTATATCCATCTATCCATCCATCTATAACATCTATGGCTTGATGGCCATCTGTCGGGAAGGCTTCGATTGTGTCTTCCTGACTGGTAGATGGGGGCTGGACTGGGTGGCCTTTGGGGTCTCCTTCAACTATAGGATTCTATTATATCCATCTATCCATCCATCTATAACATCTATGGCTTGATGGCCATCTGTCGGGAAGGCATCGATTGTGTCTTCCTGACCGATAGAAAGGGGCTGGACTGAGTGGCCCTTGGGGTCTCCTCCAACTATAGGATTCTATTATATCCATCTATCCATCCATCTATAATATCTATGGCTTGATGGCCATCTGTCAGGAGAGCTTTGGTTGTGTCTTCCTGACTGGCAGAAGGGGGCTGGACTGGGTGGCCCTTGGGGTCTCCTCCAACTATAGGTTTCTCTTATATCCATCTATCCATCCATCTATAACATCTATGGCTTGATGGTCATCTGTCAGGAAGGCTTTGATTGTGTCCTCCTGACTGGCAGAAGGGGGCTGGACTGCATGGCCCTTGGGGTCTTCTCCAATATAGGATTCTATTATATCCATCTATCCATCCATTTATACCTCTATGGCTTGATGGCCATCTGTCAGGAAGGCTTTGATTGTGTCTTCCTGACTGGCAGAAGGGGGCTGGACTGGGTGGCCCTTGGAGTCTCCTCCAACTATAGCATTCTATTATATCCATCTATCCTTCCATCTATAATATCTATGGCTTGATGGCCATCTGTCAGGAAGGCTTTGATTGTGTCCTCCTGACTGGCAGAAGGGGGCTGGACTGCATGGCCCTTGGGGTCTTCTCCAATATAGGATTCTATTATATCCATCTATCCATCCATTTATACCTCTATGGCTTGATGGCCATCTGTCAGGAAGGCTTTGATTGTGTCCTCCTGACTGGCAGAAGGGGGCTGGACTGCATGGCCCTTGGGGTCTTCTCCAATATAGGATTCTATTATATCCATCTATCCATCCATTTATACCTCTATGGCTTGATGGCCATCTGTCAGGAAGGCTTTGATTGTGTCTTCCTGACTGGCAGAAGGGGGCTGGACTGGGTGGCCCTTGGGATCTCCTCCAACTATAGCATTCTATTATATCCATCTATCTATTTATCTATCTTCTATAATATCTATCTTCTATATATAATATCTATGGCGATGGCCATTTGCCTGGAAGGCTTCAATTGTGTCTTCCTGTCTGAAAGGAAGTTTATTGAGTAAAACACATATAAAAATCACCACAGGAAATAAGAAAGGCAAAATCCAAAAGGTAATGGGGAAAAACAGTCAACAAGTAATAAGCCAAACCACACTGGCAATGGAAAAAACATTCCAAAGGCAACAATCCAAACAGTCCAAATCTGTTCCATCAAACAAGCTATAGGAAGAACCAGAACCAAAACATGAGCATATATCCAGGATAACAAGAATGAAAACATGAGCATGAATCCAAAACCAAGACTACAAGAACTTCTTAAATACTTGATTCCAAATTCCCAAAGTCTTAGATTAAAACATGAACTTGGAACAAGACTTGCGATCCTCACTGTAATGCAGTGTTGCCTGATCTGAACGTTAAAGGAAGCAATTCTCTGATTTAAGGACCAAAAACCATGAAGTCATGC